CTACGGCCAATTTTAAGTCCAGACTAGCTAACTACAAATCACACATTAAGCATAAGCGCCGGACATGCAGTATAACAAATCATTTTATTGATGTGCATGAGGCGGATCATTCGAGCTTAAAATTTATGCTTATTAACCAACACCATAGTGAAGTACTTAAGAGTGAAAACTTTTGGATAGGAATGTTGTTGACCAACCGGAAAGGCCTTAATGGTAGTCATGATTTCGCCCAACAATAGTAATTTATTCATAATTTATTGTATATAAGTATGTTCTGTGTAAAGTTATAGGCACTCTGAAGAAGGCTGTGGCATGCAGCCGAAAATTTAGTTTTTGTATTTAATATACCTTTTTTTTTTAATAAACTTCTTCAAACGTAGCCGTTCTGTTTGTTACAGGGGCTAAGGGAAGTGAAAATCCTGAGTATCAGGTTGGAGCTAACCAGGAGTATGGCCCTCAGACAGGAATCGAAACTGCTGCCCTGCTAGCAATCTAGAGATGATACACCTTGTACGCCCATCCCAGCTTTCGCCACTCGGATGCGAATGTGCATGAAATCACCACTCAAGTGCTGCAACACAGGCTGCCACTCTGTTGAGGCCAATTGTATAAATCTCTTAACTATACTTTTTACCGGAATTTTGTATTTAAATCGCAGTTACATATACTCTATAGAATATGTGACTTTCATTGGTTAACTTTCACATTAATCGTAGTTAACTTTAATAACGGCCTCTTTGTATGACCGGCCCCTGATATTCAGGTTCAAGGTAATCCGGCAGGAATAAAACTAATAATAGCAATTAGCTGCAAGGAATTGGAATTGCAAATCAATGTTAAGGTGGTATTTTGTCCAGAAAAAAATATATAAAAAAAATATATCATTAGCTATCAGCATGTCAAGCATCAACGAGGACCCTTATACGCAAGCAAACCCGACTCGCATATCATAGACGCAAGATCAGTGACAAGATATAATACCGATTTCAGATGGTTAACTAAACAGAACTGTTGCGCATACAACAAACAAACGTCACAATATGCTCAAATGAACACAAGTATTTGTAATTTTTACTGGTCAGTACAGACAGTTAAAAAAAATGAACCCAATTACACTACAACGATCTTATAAGAGTAAACGGGTAATTTGCCTGCGATAGCCAGATCTTAGATCAACAGTGAGTAATTTTTACTGAGCATTATGAGAGGATTTACTGGGGGGGGGTTAGGGGAGTTAAACCCCCCTTAGAATCTCTCTAACCCCTCTTATGAAGTGTTCAACCCCCCAAATTTCGCTTTACCCCTCCTATTTTGTGTGAAAGTCTTTAACCCTAACGCTCAACCCCTGTAAAAAGCTCGCTCAGTGGTGCTGCATGCACCCAACTAGAAAATTTTCCACCCCTCCTTTAAAAAACCGAAAATCCGCTCTTGCTGAACATGTATGTTGAACATTATGCTGGATGAATAAACTGCGAGAAAAAAACAAAATCAATTTTAACGTTTCCGCAAATTGACTTAAAAAATATTCATAAACAGTAGTAAAAAACGTTAAAATACCAACGATTTAAGGAAAACCAGGGCCGCCAACTGGGGAGGAGGTGTGGCCAAAAGGGACAATTTGCGCCATGCTCCAGGCTAAAGGATCCCCCAAATAACAATTTCGTGAATATAACCATTGCTCTTAAATTGGGCGACCCTGAGGATAACAAAGCTGAGAATTGAAGAACGGGGGATAGTTGTGTGACGAACGTGGATGACACTGCATGCATGCAAATTATAAAAATAGAAAACGCGAAAAAATACTGGTGAACTGTACAATCTATGTAATTAAGTTAAGCTGCAATACAAAATTTGCACTTGATTTCCCGTGTTCTTGTGACCATTACTGCAATTTATATGCGCAACAGTTCTGTGCGCAACAGTTCTGTTTAATTAACCATCTGAGCTGGCATGCAGGTACATGGTCTATCCCAAAAGGTGAAATCGGTATTATATCTTGTCACTGATATTGCGTCTATAATATGCGAGTCGGGTTTGCTTGCGTATAGGGGTCCTCGTTGATGCTTGACATGCTGATAGCTAATCAAGATAGTTTTCGAACTCTCTAAGCGCAAATTCACGTCTATAGGTTCCATTGTTCGATTGCGCAGGCTGGATTCCTGCCAGATGGCCTGTAGTTGCATTTTTCGCAACTGCTCCTGATTATATGTCTAAATAAATGTGTAAAATTTACACTCGAAATTTCCATCTACAAAACTCTTCAACTATTACTTCAGTATGAAAGGTAGATGCCAAAAATCTTGGTAATATTGCTCATTGCACTTTAGCTCTAATGACCTCGTTTCCATGTTTGCCTGTTTTGGCATGACATGCGCACATGAAGGTTTCTTGCACGAATATGTTTCTTTCCTTATCCTTAACCCTACTGTGCACGAAACATTAAGGACTATCCACATGGGCAGCAGCAAAGAATAAACAGTACAGTCTATTGTATTGCAAGGGGCACGAAAGATTGCCGCGATTAGCATGGCCTTTAGAGATTGTCTTGAAGCGTGCTTCAAGTATTTTATTTTATTTTATTTTATTTTATGCAATATAATTACGACGTTATACTTTCTACCTGCTATAAAGTGATGCATAACCATGAACGTTTTGTATTGGTATTATGAATTCTGTGACAGATCATGAAATAGACGGAAAAGTAATCTCGGCGTAACGAGCCAAAACACTACTCAATGCTGAATGATGGACATCCCACGCCCTTTGTATTAATTTCTAAAGCTAATCGGAACAAAAGACCTAACGCGGTTTAAATGAAATTCCCATCATCATTTTACACGCAACTTGTGGAAATCAGCCTGAGGTTGACAACGGTTAGCGTGTTTAAATAAAGTTATCTATTGACCTAGCTGGAAGATAACTCGTAGTTACGTTTGAGCTATATGCGAGTAGACGCTGTTAAAGAGGAGGTCAAGTCTGTTCCGCGCATGTGCTATGCGAGGACCCTCTAATGTAAACAATACCCAAATTTCGCGTTGTTTTCGACAACTTCTAAATTAAACCTCTAATCTATATTTATTTAAAAGCATAGCAAACCAGAACGATGTTAGATATTAACTCAGTGCATTATATTTACTACACATCCTATGTACGGACTTTGCATGACTGCCTAATTCCTATGAAATTTCAGGTTCCAGTTGCATACAATTAGTTAAATTTAAAATACAGAGTGAGTTAGAACGAAAGTTAGCCAAGTTTTCAGCTTTAGCGAAGAGTAATGGAACGTACTTTATATCATTTATAATTAATGGTGTTTTATTGTTATGATCAACCAGTCACGAAACTCGTTCAATCCGTTCATATATGTTGGTGGCGCGCATTGTGGTTAAATAAAGTGTATTATCATGTCAGTTAAAAATGTTGCGCCCATAGGTGACACCCATCCCACATTCATCGCGGTTATGATGCCACCCTCCCTAACCTCAGGGACTCCACTAATAGTCCATGGACGGCTTTGACTAGCTGCATGGGAGGACAATGCACCGAGCCCAAACTCATAACGCGCGCTCGCACGCGTATTGATGCCACCTTTACTATCACTAGCCACATCCACATCTAAAGCTTTCTGTACTTTCGTATTAATGTACCTATATGCAGCCAAATACAGTGATTGTGGGACGCAGTCAAGGCCCCAAAGAACTGCGCATGATTTATGTTGTATTGGAAAGGCTTTCATGAAAACATTTCTAAATTCAGCCAATAGAAATTGCACCAATAGATGAAAGGTTTCAAATTACCATAACGCATCAACGCGACATCAATATTGCGAACATTGATCTAAGTGCTAAATTCTGTTCCAGACATGTTTTATGAATGTTTCATATAGGACACTGAAGCGTTGGACACGGTTTATAGGCACACAGAGGAAAATAAATATAAGGCTTATGAGTACGCACGCATTTCACTTTAAGCTATTGACTGGTAAAACGCAAGTGAATGCTTTGATATGGACTTGCTACATTTCATAGCTATTAATTATCAGGCAAACATAACACAATACAGTATAGTAATGAGATTTGAAGTCGCATATTCGGCAAACCGGGCTGACCTCTACCTATTGTCATTGAGGCATCAAGTCAACTGCGGAGAGTACAAGTCTATATAAGCGCACGAGATATTCTCGCGACTTTTTTCGCATGAATATATTGAATCATGTTGAAACACTGTTGCCATCGTAAGAATGTGAATGACGCGGAATTGTCAGCGCGGACAAGCGTCCATGAATTATTAGACTAAATTTCACTGATATTAGTATTGATCTTACGCCGGATCGAATGCTTTGGCTCTAGTATTAAATATATACGTGATGTTTGCACAATTTTTCTCACAATCGGCCATAGTTGGCCAAACTACGGAGAGATTAAGAGAAACGCAAAATACGTGTAAATAACTTTGTGTAAAATTGTACATATATATTCACCATACATTTGTATATACCAATACATGGATCATGTATATAATAAAAATATTAATATATATATAAAAAAATGCATAAGACATACAGTAAATATTTTAATCAGACACCGAGTCACTATCATTATATCAACTGGACTGTTTTGTATTGACGTATGATATGATAATAACCGACTAGTTTCACTAGAATTTCCTTCGCGCTGTATCCCTAGCGCCCCAACACAAAGTCTCTCTCATCGTCTGGACGCTGTCAGAGCTTTATATGCTGGCATTCCAAAATGTCCAAATAGACCACATTTGTTTCATGAAATGATGCGCAGCTTCAAGTATTGCATGATTAAATTGGAGTGATAACCAATTTGTGCAGTGATAAAAGTAAAATGTGCAGTGATAAAATGTAAAATGTGCAGTGATAAAATTTGCTTTGATAAGTTGTTAATTAACACAAGAGAATGATTTAATTGAAATTGAAATGATGACTGCCAAATTATCGAATTAAATAATATAGTCCGTATGTTGTGACCCGATATCGTTCACTTTCATTAAGCATGTCTTAGATCTGAAATATTTTTACGGGAACTAACACTTTCGAACACGCTGAGTTCAAATCGGAAAAGTTCCCACTCCGTAGACCCGCAGTTTTTTCACAAAATGCTATTTTATCTTCACTAATTTCACAACAAATTTTTTCATTGTTCAACGATACGGATCGATGACGATACACGATTATGTCACTCAAAAGGACCAATTTCTATTAACCATTCTTCCTTTTAACAAAAGACCGGTTTTGATCGAATCATTTTGAGTTATGTAATCTTATGCGTGTTTGACGTAAACAACATATCTTGTCTATAACCTTGAGAAGGTACAGATAGCGCTTTCTAAAATCCTCAGTTCTAGAGATATCTCTATAAAATCACAATGACGTTAATGTCAAGTCTTTTAGCTATGTCACTGGCCTGAAAAATAACTCTTTTAACGCGATCAAGATATTTAAAACAAAAGTAACACGAAGCCAACGTAACGGCAAAGATAACGCTAAAACGAAATATTGTCGAATGTTTGCAGGTAGAAGACTTACGACAGGATCAATCTTAAATAACCTTAAACTATAAGAATAAATGTTCACATCAAAGACAAAGATCAGTCACAAAGTATAAAATACGCTCTGTAAACTTACCGCGAAGTGGAGAAATGTGTGCATGCGCTGTTTATTTGATGATTTCGACGTATATAGAAGCCCTCTTTCCAATAATACTCGCTTATCGCACAGTATAACACCAACTGATGTAATAGTTCAAATGCAATGATAAGTTATCTCTTGAATTACGTCTTGGAAACCGTGTTGCAAATTTCAGTGATGATCCATTACATATAGATTACCGTTTTATATCTTTGTATAAAACATTTTGATCGCATGTAAGGAATTGTTTCTCAGCCCAGAGATATAGCCCAAAGACTTGACATTAACGTCCTTGTGATTTTATAGAAATAGATCCAGAACTAAGGATATTAGAAGGAATTATCTGTACCTTCTCAAAGTTGTAGACAAGATATGTTGTTTACATCCAACACGCATAAGATTACATAACTCAAAATGAATCGAGCGAAACCGGTCTTTTGTTTAAAGGAAGAATGGTTAATAGAAATTGGTCCTTTTGAGTGACATAAACGTGTATCGTCATCGATCCGTGATGTTGAACAATGAAAAATTTGTTGTGAAATTAGTGAAGATAAAATAGCATTTTGTGAAAAAACTGCGGGTCTACGGAGTGGGAGCTTTTCGGATTTGAACTCAGCGTGTTAGAAAGTGTTAGTTCCCGTAAAAATATTTCAGATCTAAGACATGCTTAAAGGGTATGGGCAATGAAAATTTCTTCATCTATCTTATTGCTTCATCTGAAAGAGCATGAAAAAATAAGCCGATTGGCCGTTTACTGCTCTATTCTATCTCATCTGGTTCCGAAGTTATAAGCAAAAATGTGCAAAATATAAATTGCTGATTCAGCACAATGTGTGACGTCATAAGCGGGGTAAGTCTGTTTATTGAATAGTAAACTAAAGCATAGCTGAGTGATTATTGGCTCAAATAAAATGAAATTTTGCATACAGATAGTACATGATGAGACGCATGGGAAAAACTTCTAATTTCGTTGTCAAGGCAACACAGTCGTTCCCAGGCCCCTTACACTGATTTTGAATAACTAGTTGCATTTCTCTATGTGTATGTCATTTTCGAATTATTATCATGCAAGTAAACTTTCGGCATGCATAGGTATCGTACACGTACTTCTGATATTATTTTATTTTTATCAGTACCTTGAATAAAGCTGTTTTATAAAATTGGCGCAAGGGTCCTGGGAACGACATTGTTACCTTGGCAACAAAATTAGAAGTGTTTTTCCATGCGTCTCATCATGTACAATCAGTATCCAAAATTTCATTTGATTTGGGCCCATAAATTTATATTTTGCACATTTTTGCTTATAACTTCGGAACCAGATGAGATAGAATAGAGCAGTAAACGGCCAATCGGCTTATTTTTTCATGCTCTTTCAGATGAAGCAATAAGATAGATGAAGAAATTTTCATTGCCCATACCCTTTAATATACGTCAGTTCGCCGATAGGTCAATCGAGTGGAGATTTAATATAAGCTACATTTTGCAATATATTTCGCTAATTTGTGATTATTTTCGTTAAATTTTATAATTTCATTGTAGTTTTAATTTAAATTCAGTCGTTTAGTGGGCTGCCTATGGTCCACCTGTTTATAATAGGCTGTTCCAGCTGATAGATTGAGTGAACGTACTAAACGGCAGGGTTCAATTAGCTTCAACCTTAACGAGGTTTTGTTGTTTTTATCGATTTGATCCTTCACAATAATCCTTGGCTGTCCATGGCACTCGAATAAATCGAAAAGTTAACAAAAACAAAACAGTAAAAACAACATTGCCGCTAGATTTTGCTGAATGAAAGCTCGTTCTGCGCCCGCGTACAATCTTTTACTAGTCAGCGACGCTTTTCAATAAGGGGAATTTAATTTCTCGAGTTGCACGAGGCTATTTTCTAATACATTTATTGACAGTCATCTTTGGTTTATTTTCTTGCATAATACTACTTCTTGCACAAATAGACTATAATTATTTGTAGTTTTTAGGTTGCTCATTCTTATTCCGCTAGAATTTTACGAAAAGGCAAAACATCGAAGTCGCTTCCATTTTGAGTTTTTGACAACCTGCGGAACATTTGTTGACACATGCGCAGACGTTTTTTCGCGGTGTTGGGATGGAATGTTATCACAAGAGATACGAAAAAACTTGGTTATGATTGCGAACCAGCAAGCGTTGCAATTCCTTCGCTGTATAATCCTACGACTGCTGCCACCTCGGTACGTTCCGCAGATGATGGCGAGAATGGATCTATGTTGAAAGAAAGTCAAACCGCGATAGAGTGAGAATGATCCAGTGGAACTGAAAAGGTCCCGTTGATTAGTAGTGAGTTTGGCAAACGCAACGGCGCGTCAATGAAGACGTGAATCGTTATCGTCAACACTAGAATTTTACAAGACAAAGACAACTATAAATTATATTCCCTTGATAATTGTAGTTACGTCATAGATCCCCAAACTGCTACATTATTTACATATCATTTTCACGCCTCATAACCACGCCAAAATGTCGATGAACGACTAAGATTCATTGACACTGGCCTTTCACGAAATCTGCCCCCCCTTGCCTTAACATCGTTCCGGCGTCCCTGGGCACTGGTATTTTCATTTTATAAATGGAAAGCCTAATTGATCCCATTCAGAAACTTTTAATACTGCTGTCGTGAAATTTTGCATCAAGATAGATCCAGATCGTCGCTATTGGGCCTGAAATTTTGGTGAGCGTAGCGTTCTTGCTGAGATATAAGAGTTTAGTTTTAGTCACTGGAATACATGTACAATTTTCACAATATTTAGACCGTTCAAAATCGAAAAGCGGAATTGATCCCGTTCAGCAACTGTTAAAACTTCTGTCATGAAATTGTGCATTTAGATATTTCCAGACTGTCGCTTTTGACCTGAAATTTTGGTGAGCGTAGCGTTCAATCTCGGTGAGATATAAGAGCTTCGTTTTGGTTTTTTGAGTTTTGAACGATTTCAATATTGTAAAAATTGTACATGTATTCCCGCCACCAAAATTAATATCTTATATCTCAGCGACTTTGAAAGACGCCTTCACCAAACTTTCAGGCCAAATAGGCGAGGACCTGCACCTATTGCCATGTAAAATTTCATGACAGCAATATTAATAGTTTCTGAATGGGACCACTCTGCTTTTCGATTTTGAACGAACTAAATGTTGTGAAAATTTTACATATTTTCCAGCGACCAAAATTAAGCTCTTATATCTCAGCAACTTTCAATGCCACCTTCACAAAACTTTCAGGCCAAATAGCGAGGACCTGCAGCTATCGCCATGCATGCAAAATGTAATAACAGCAATGTTAATAGTTTCTGAATGGGATCAATACTAGATTCCCCTTATTACGTTTTCGAAGCACTTTGCATTGTGGTTATAGTGGTATAACTGATAAAGATAGCGGCCTCGAATGAAAATATTGAATGTATTCGCGAATATTTTGCTGTTGGCTATCGCGCACCTGACCCTAGCTTTTTTAAAAGTTCTTGCACGGGTCAGGACAAAAAATAAGCCATCTTGAATATCAGTGATACCACTATAACCACAATGCAAAGCACTACGAAAACGTAATAAGGGGAATTGTCAAATCTGCTTTTCGATTTTGAACGATCTAAATATTGTGAAAATTGCACATGTATTCCCGTGACAAAATTAAGCTCTTATATTATCTCAGCGACTTTGAATGCCACTTTCTATCTATCTTCTATCTTCCAATACAGCAAACCCCTCAGTATGAGGATTATTAGCTGGGGTCAGCAGAATATACATGTTGCTAACCCAAAGGAAAAGTTAATAATAATAAACTATTTAAAGTTAAGATAATAGAAAGTTAAATAATAGAAAAACTATAAAAAAAACCTAGAGCGGTTCCGAGATCGGGAGCTTCGCCAGAATACCCGATCGCCACGTAGGCACAGTCTCCAAGGGAAATTGGAATTTCTCTGCTAACATGTGCGTTATTGACGATCAAACCCCTAAACAGAGCCCTCGATCCCCAGGCTCGGCTGAGGGTCGCAATAACACACTAAACATTGCTAGAATGAGACAGTGGTGAAATACGCTGACGAAGTGTGTCAGTTGTGTTGCAATTTGTAAAAATGTTTGAAGGAATACTGTTCCACTGGTTTATTGTTCTTGGGGAAAAGGGTGGGTAGTGGGAGGACGTGTTGCAGACTATAGGTAGGAATGAGTGTTCATGTGTATTTCGAGATCTTAATGCAACACGAAGAAGATTTGAACAGCTGACTGGTACAAGGCCTGGACAATTTTGTACATCAGGACTAGACGAGCGTCAATGCGTCGTTCCTCAAGAGAGCGCCACCCAAGTTCATTTAGCATTTCAGTAACACTGGACATTGAATGAAAACGTGCTAGGGTCCATCTCGCCGCTCTGCGTTGAATCATCTCCACTCTGTATGAACCGATGTTTTCAACTCCGCGGTCCCAAACGCTGCAGAAGTACTCTAGCTGGGGGCGTACAAGGCTAACATATGCCTTTTGCTTGAGTTCACGTTCTTTTACCTTCAGATTTCTTTCAGAAACCCTAGAGTGCGGTTTGCTTTGGCAGTAACATTGCTGATGTAAGAGTTCCACTTTAAATCGTGTGATAATTGTACTCCAAGATACCTGGCACTTGTGACGGACCTGAGGACTTTGCCGTGAAGAGCAGAGTCATGATGGACCATTGATTTCTTGCGCGTTACTCGTAGGACTTCACACGCAAGAAATCGATGATCCACTGACTTCACACGCAAGAAATCAATGATCCAATGCGAGGACTTTCAGCTAACTCTTTCCAAAAAGTCATCTCAGCAATGTTAGTAGTTTCTCAATGGGATCAATTCAGCTTTTCAATTTTGAACGATCTAAATATTGTGAAAATTGTACATGTATTCCCGCGACCAAAATTAAGCTTATATCTCAGCGATTTTGAATGACACTTTCACCAAACGTTAGGGCCAAATAGTCAGGACCTGCAGCTATCACCATGCAAAATTTCATCACCGCAACAGGGGTGGAAAAAATATTTTACTTTCTGGGACCGCAAGAGAACATTGAAAATTTTCTGCAAATAATCAAGTAATTTGACACTCAGACTGTAACTGTGTGATGTTGTCAAACTGAATTTTTAATTTTAGAAGTCTGAAATTGGCTATTTCCTGCGATTTCACAGATATATCCAAAGGCAACAGCAAAATTTGTGTGGTTAGGGAAGCCTCGCATATCGATTTTGTCAATGAGAAACGTCGATCATATGGACGTTTCTCAATGAAAATTTTTTGAAAGTTCCGGGGTTGGCAAAAATGAAAATTTTTTTGAAAGTTCCGGGGTTTGGCAAAAAAATGAAAAGTTTTTTAAAGTTCCGGGGTTAACCGGCCCCAGGAGGTAATTACGCATTCAGTTTACCAGCACCAACAACAGGAATCAACGCCTGTATTCAAAAAGCTCACTCACACTCACACTCAATGAGTGGACACTCATTCTTAATGAGTGCACGTCCCTTGAGCCACACTCAGTTAGACTCACCTTGTACTTTGTGATTCAAGTATGGCGGAAAGGTGGTTAAGAAGATTAGAATTACTGGACAATGTCGCAAGAAACAACAGAGACAGGAGGAGACCATATATTTTTGTGAAAATGCTGAACTATTTAGAAATCGAAAAGGATACTTCTCGATAAATGTTCAAGCTGTTTGCGGGCCAAATTTAGACATTCTAAACATTGTCGCACGTTGGCCAGGTAGCGTACATGATGCCAGAATATTCGACAATAGTCGCATATGTGCACAGTTCGAACGTGGTGATATCCAGGGTATATTACTTGGTGATAACGGTTATCCATGCCGCCAATACCTAATGACGCCAGTAATTGATCCGCAAACCCGACCGCAGCGCAGATATAATGTAGCACAAATACGTACACGAAACACAGTGGAAAGGATGTTTGGCGTATGGAAAAGGCTGTTTCCATGCCTTTCAACGACCCTTCGCACAAAATTGCAAACGTCTCTAACTATAATTGTTGCTACAGCAGTGTTGTACAACTTCATAAGAAGGCGAAATGATCCTATAGATGAACCAGAACATATTCTGGCCGATGAGGAAGAAGATGACATGCATGTTGGAGATCGACGTTTGGGAAATGCAGTACTACAAGCCCTGATAATGCAACATTTTACGTAAATTAGTAAATTATGAATAACATATTCAATTTGATAACACAATTAATATACATTAAAATGTGAGAGAAAATGTAAATTATTGTTCTCTTATTTTCTTAATACACAACTTCATAATGGCCAGAACAATACTCGTACATATCATTTTGTAATTTATTATGTTATTTTTTAAATTAATTTTGCTTCCTACCCCGTGTGTTTGGTTTATGTAGTTCATCTTGTGTGGATTTTATTGTCTTTTTCATTTTATCCCAATATTGCAGTTCAGCGTCTAGCACTTCCATTTTCCTTTTGTGTGTAATTATTAGATTATTTTTTTTTAAAACCAGGAGCTCCATCTCTGCTTCATGCTGCTGGGTTTGCATGTCCAAAATCGTGCCTGGGCAGCGGATATTTGCGATATTTTGGTCAATGATGGTGTAAGGGCAGCAGCGTCAAAGACAGATGGCGGCAATTCATTTTCGTCTGGTGCATTTTTTGTACCTGTAGTTGTTGCCTCTAAATCCGTTTCATCGTCGTCGCAATCGATTTCTATACATTTAAAACCCGATAAAGTACATGAGATTTTATGCACATATTACAAAGGGTTGTTCAGAAATTTCAAACTAATTGATCGGATTTTGCAATTGTATAACACCTGCATATGTTTAACGATTTGGCATTGTCTTACCTATTTCAAAATTATCGTCATCAAACATATTACTTAAGCTGTCAATTTGGGCTGGAATGATAGAAGCAACAGCCGCAGCTTCATCGTCTGGTTTCGTCGTTGAAGGACCGCCGCCAGTTAACTTCACCTCCCTCTTCTCCACTTTCGCCAGTTGTTTTTTGGCGCGGGCCTTTACATTTTCCCAACACTTTTTTAACTGCTTCGAATCCCTCTTCGTCACACCTGACTGGGAATTGAATTGTTCGGATAAAGCTTCCCACGTTTTATTTTTCTGTTGTATGGTTTTATAATCATTCTTTTTATTTTCTAGCAGATATTTGTGCTTTCGCACTAATTCAGTTAACAGCGACTTTTCCAATTGCGAAAAATATTGTCTAGCTTCAGCCATTTTGTTCAGCAACGCCGTACGAATGCATTGACAATTCTACAACAGTCTCACTAGTTTATATACCTTCTATCGTTAATTATGCATCAACATCAAACCCAAACTCCAGCAAGTCACACTCGAGTGAGCTCTTTGAATACAAATCTAGCTAATATTTTCAAGGGTGAGTGCTCCCTCGTTGAGTGGACACTCACACTCATACTCCACTCTCACTCGCACTTCAACCCTACTTGAGTGCATTTCATTCGAGTCACACTCAAGTGTGCACGTGAGTGTGAGTGAGCTTTTTGAATACAGGCGTTGGAGTTGGAGCAAGTCTAGCTGCGAGCAGGCTACTGTGGCGACGGCATAACAAAATACGACACAAAAATGTACATTTGAATTTATGACGGACATATCAGAATGTTATTTATGAAGTTTGAATTGAATTTACTTAACGCGAAATAAATACTAAAATAGGAATTTTCTATGCTGGGTTAGTAAAAGAAAAAGCATAATTTTAATTGTATGTAATTTCGATGAATACTATAAAAGAAATTATACGCATTGTTTATATAAATTAGCTAACATTTTCACATTTATTACGATAGTAGCGACGTTTGTTTTAGCCATGTAACAAAATAAACTATACTTCTGATCAGTTATTTAACAAAAATATCAAATTTGTGAATTTTAATTCACAAACTTTTGAAATTTATTCTCAGCTATGGAGCTCACGAATATATTTTTTTCAAAAAAAAATATTGAAATTCGATTATTTATAAAATTGATATTTTTGTTAAATAACTGATCAGAATGCTTATCAAGTTTATTTTGTTACATGGCTAGAACAAACGTCGCTATTATCGTAATAAATGTGAAAATGTTAGCTAAATTATATAAACAATGCGTATAATTTTTTTATAGTATTCATGCATCGAAATTACATACAATTAAAATTATGCTTTTTCTTTTACTAACCCAGCATAGAAAATTCCTATTTTAGTATTTATTTCGCGTTTATAAGTAAATTCAATTCAAACTTCATAAATAACATTCTGATATATGTGTCCGTCATAAATTCGAATGTACATTTTTGTGTCGTATTTTGTTATGCCGTCAAATGCCGTCGCCACAGAAAAATAGAACATATTAATTGATAAAAATTCTAGGCCTAGGGGGAATGGAAACACGTGGAATGTTCTATTATACTTATAGTTTTTTAAATCAATCAACTAGATCAATCAACTGATTCAAGGAAAGAATAATCGGTCTTTCTGAATTCTGGTATATTTTTGAAATATACAAGTTCGTGACATTTATGAATCTGGTCAGACTGAATGAAATAATGTGGCATAACATTCAAAAACAAAGCTCTCTCAGCGTGTCAGAAAAAGAACGTTTTTTCAAGAATTTGCGTTTGCTAGCTCTGTTTCACTAATGTTCACTTTTATCTTAATAAGTCGATCTCGTTCCTCAATATTTTGATTAGTCGTTGGGCTTAGCTTATTCAAGTTCTCCATGAATCTTATTTGCATTTCTCTCTCATCCTCGTTTTCCTCTACTCCTTCCCTTTCCTCTGCATCTTCTTGCTTGTTCTCATGATCTCTTTGTCCGTTGTTCACCAGTACTTCCACATTCTCCCGATCTTCCTCATTTTCCGCATCCCAGTCTCCGCTTTGTGAATTTTCACTGTTGCTTCCGGTTTGTTCAACTTGGTCTGGTTCCAGTTCTCCCCTATCTCGTACTCCAATCAAGTTTGCTACCGCTTTATCTTTCCGGAATCTTGCTGCATTATCCGTCAGACACTGTGCCCTCATTGGCTTGTCTTCATAGATCGAATCCAATGCTTCTTTCATTCTCTTCATGAACCCTCTTCTTCTACTTCTTTCCTGTTCTTCAATCCTTAATAAATTAATTTTCATTTCGTTGGTCCATTCGGCATTACTTGTACTTGTACTGTCGCTACCATTAATGTTGTCTTGGGTTGCTTCGATATTGATATTTATTTCTCTCTTAAATCTCATTGCATTATCTCTTATGTTCTGCTTTGACATGTTACGTTTCTCGGGATACTTTTCGTCTCATCTCCTTTTCAGTCTTTCCGTGAATCCTCTACCTCTTCTCCGTTCTTCTTCCTCTACTTTTACTAACCATCTCTTCTCATCATCTGTATATGTTGATAAATAGTGTCTTCTATGAGCCTCTTCATTTGAGTCAGCCTGGTCTTGCCTAGCCACATTGGTTCTCTGAAGTACTCCATTGGTGTTGTTAGTTTCATTGTTAGGTTGAAATTCATTGTAGTCCAAATCTCCCATATAAAGTTGCAAACGACGCACGGGAACAAGAAGTCCATCCAGTGTTGCCCGGCTCTCTGGATAAGGCTTTATGATGGTAGTGGCGCCATGTCTACCAGATTCCGCGATTGGCGACCTCATAACGCAGTGGCCATTCACCCATATCGGCACGGTACCTTCGGCTTGCGGGTATAATTGTTTGTGTAACCTCCACTAGATGGGTTGTCGACCACGACTAAAGAGCCCCATCCGCCCTGGTTTGTGGTCAGAGTTGTCCCTCTCCTAGGATGACTGCTGGAAAGCTAACGAGCTCACCCTGCCCGGAGCACTGGTTAATTAAAGGCGCCAGTATCTCGTATTGCGGTAGGCCGACTCCCTTCCGTATCGCCCATGCATCCTTGACGTGGTTTATGTAAATTGTGTAGTCATTGTAAACGCCCTATTTATTTAGACCATAAATATAGAGAGATTGTCCTTAATAAAGCAGATTCTAACTGAGTGTTTATTATTATTATTATTATTATTATTATTATTTTTATTATTATTATTATTATTATTATTAAGATAAATATTAATATATATATTAATATTAATATTTTATATTAATATTAATATTATAAATTAATAAATTTGGTCTGAATATTATTCTCCCTTCGACAAAATTTATCCAATGTCAAACTGTCTCTCGATCAGCTCTAAAATACTCACCAAACGTAGATATTAACAATTTATGGGCGGTGACGAGCACCAACAAGAACGTACAGTATGACATTTACAAAGACACAAAAGACGTACTTAAGGCAGTTAGAAAAGAAAACGAACAAAGACTTCAAAACCACCTCATTTCGCAAGGTTCTTTCTTTTCCAGTATCATGAACAATAACACACTTCCAACACGAAAGAACCTATCAGAATGGGGACTATCATCAACATCCGATTGCTCTTTCTGCTCCTCACCTGAAACGCTGCTCCATGTGATTGCTGGATGTAAGACATATTTAGACGAAGGCCGGTTTACATGGCGACACGATTCTGTTTTAAATTTCCTCGCATCCACTCTTACTGCTGTGAAAAATTCCACACTTTACGCGGACATTCCTGGTTTTATGAATCCATCTGTTATCACGGGAGATCGTTTATGACCTGACCTTCTGCTGGTTACTGAAAACAGATGTCTATACATCCTCGAGCTTACAGTCGGTTATGAATCCAATCTGCAAGTTAACGCCAATCGTAAGCGTCAAAAGTACCGTGATCTAATCAATGAGCATTGCAGGAAGCAGATTATGATAAAGTCAAGTTCGTCAATCTATCCTTGAGTACCCTCGGAGTTTTTGGCCGATCTTCTGAAAATTTCGATGGCATGCTAAGTAGCCTTAAATGTGATGCCAAGTATAGTAGATACATAAAAAAGAAAATCGTGAACATATGCATACGTACATCATATTATATATTTTGTAAACGAAACAAGGTGTGGGATAACCCAAAATTAATGTTAATATAATCCTTCTTAAAATAATTATTGTACAATAAATATATAGTATCAATTCAAGTAGACATTGATAAACTACCTGTAAAGCGAGGTTTATCATTGTAGTTGTATATATCTTAATAATCAATAAATAAAGTTTCCATTATTATTATTATTATTATTATTCATCTTATTTAAAAACGGTAGCCCTTCAGTTTAAACTGCTTTTCAAGGGGCCGTTAGAATATTTACAAATATGTTATATAATATATACATACTAACTATATAAAAAAAGAAAGCCCATGCAGTGAACACTATATATAACTTAGATTGAATCGCATATATAACTATGTTATGTTAACCCTCCCAGACCCAAAAATTACTCCTTCGAATCAAAATCCGCCCCACAAGTGGTTGTCACACACTATTCCTCTCCAAATTGGTGAAATAGTTGTTGATTAAGGTTTTGAAGTTACTTATGGAGAGCTCTTTATAGTTGTTGGCAACATCATTTGGAAGATTGTTCCATGATGCAGCACCTCGATATGAAAACGATTTCTTCATGAAGTCTGTTTTAGGTTTTTCCAAATAAAGTTTACAGTTATTACTTCTTAACGCATACATATCATTTAGGCAAATTTTTAAGATGTTCATGGTCATGCATTCTGGCAGTTGGCCTTGTAAGGCCTTAAATGTCATTATCATTTCTCTTTTCTTAAGAGTGGTTTCAATTGGTTCCCAGTGTAAGATATTAAATATATCTTTCAATCTTACTTCGTAAGTTGACGCTGTGATAATTCGAGCCGCTCGTTTTTGCATATTTAAAAGCTTGTCTGTATGTGTACGACTGTCGTCGTTCCACACGTTGGAGCAATACGTAAAGTGAGGTAAGACTAGTGAGTTGTGCATGTTAATTAATACGTTTTGGTTAACAAATCGTTTGGCTCGTCTTAGTAAGGCAATGCTCTTGGATAGTTTTTTGCATTGAAGATCATTGTGCTTATGCCATCTCAGTTCATCGTCTAAAGTAATTCCCAGTACTTTCTTATTGGTCACCCCTTTCATGTTGTGATTACCAATCAGTACGTATACATGGGTCATATGAGAATTGTTTCAATTTTCGTTTAGAGGCTATTAGCATAAATTCAGTTTTTTTAACGTTTAAAGAAAGCTTGTTTGCTATTAACCAGTTATTGACGTTATACAAATCGTTACCAACCAATACATTACCAATGCTTGATATATTTGTGTCATCTGCAAACATAGATGCTTCTGTTTGTTCGAGGCAGTTAGGAAGATCGTTTATATGCAATGAGAATAATGACGGTCCTAAGTTTGATCCCTGTGGGACTCCGCACCTTATCTTTTTCAGTTGAGAATTTGTACCTTGGACTGTACATAATTGACTCCTATTGGTTAAGTACGATTTGAAGAAGTTAAGGGCTACACCTTGAATTCCATATAGTTCAAGTTTAGCAAGAAGGATTTTGTGGTCGACTGTATCGAGTGCCTTTTTTGAGATCAAGAAACAAGACACCTTTATTAAGCCTCTATCCATATTCATTAAATATTCATTGGTTGATTGCAAGAGAGCAGTTTCAGTAGAGTGATATTTACGGAAGCCAGATTGGCGTTTTGTGATTATTTTGTTGTCATTCAGAAAATTGAGAAGTTGGTTATAAACTAGTTTCTCTAATATTTTTGAAATTGCCGGTATGACGGATATAGGTCTGTAATTTCCGCATTCATTGTTGTCACCTTCCTTATAGATAGGCGTAACCTTGCCCTGTTTTAAGTCGTCTGGAAGTATACCAACGTCTAGGATCAAGTTAAAAATATAAAGCAAGGTTTCACATATGGTATAGCCTGCAGCCTTTAACAGTTTGTTTGTGATTTTGTCGAGTCCTGCAGCTTTCCCTAATTTTATACCATCTAGTATTCTGCACAATTCTACTGGTGAAATTTGTCTAAATGTAAACTTATTAGAATTAGCAATGATATATTGAAGTGGGTCTACATTACTTGGTGGTATAGTTTGTGCAAGCTTAGGGCCAATTTCACAAAAAATAATTGTTAAACTCATTTGCTATATTATCCTTACCAGTAATTGTTTGTCCATTAACTGTGATCTGGTTGATTGTTGTTGTAGTCGTTTTCCTGTTGAGTAAATGATTAATAAATCTCCAGCTATTTTTACTATTTTTGCATTGTTCCAGATTTGTTTTATAATAGTGTGCTTTTGCATCCCTAATAAGTTTGGTAACTTGGTTTTTGCATCTTTTATAAGCCTCGGCATAAGCAGTAGAATTTAGTCTCACTGCCTTTTTTTTAAGGTAATCTCGATGATAGCTAAGTTTTTTAATTTCATTGTTCAACCATAGGCAATGTTCGTTCCTAACTTTTCTAGTACGATAAGGAGCATGGTTGTCAGAAATAGACAAAATATGTGCTTCCACTCCTGCCAGGCAAGATTTGGATCAGAGTTATATGTAAAGTAGTTAAACGCTGAATCAGATGTTTTGATGTCGTCACTTTTTGTAATTATTATTATTATTATTATTATTATTATTGTCTTTATTAGGGTCCACTACAGTATATGTACAAAGTCTAATTATAAAGTCTAATTATTCGGAGACCCTAAATGGGCGAGGCGCAAACGGGACTCGAAGAACCATGCAAGGCACCTGCCCAAACTTAGTAAAAATTTACTGTTCTAATTGAAAATCTATGCTGTTCTAGTAAACCTCGGAGGTGCATATGTCTCATAAAAATCGAGGGTTAGTAAATCCCCCAGTTGTTTCCCACAATGCATTGTATTCCTATTTGATGAACGAATTGCGGGAAACAACTGGTACAAATCGTAAAATGCACCCACTCAAGGTTAACAACGTTAACTATAATGTCCATTAGTGTTTTTGTCGAGTCAGTTGTTCGGATTGTCTTATCAATGTGTTGCTGTAGTTGGTAGATATCTAATAGATCATCCAATCGTTTGGAGTTGTTATTCCTATAGTTGCTGTCCAGCATGTCACAGTTAAAATCACCTGTTATGATTATTTCTTTGTTTTCATTGTCAATCTCTTTTATGAAATTTTCAAAATCATTAAAGAATTCCATATTAGAACCTGGTGGACAATACCAAGTACTGATTAGAACTGGCTTAGCTTTCGGTTTTTTAATTTCAAGACAAATGGCCTCTGCATTAACTGGAATTAAGTCAGCTCTATTAGTATAGGGAATAACATTCCTTAAGTAGATAGTCACTCCTCCTCAATTGCGGTTTCTACCCGGCCTGTCTTATCAAATCGTAACCGGGTATTTTAACCTCAGAGTTGTTTATGCCTATGGAGTCGTCAAGTCGAGTTTCGTTGATACAAATTACATCAAAAGAGAGTTTAGCCAGAAAAACCAATAATTCGTTTTTATGCTTTACCAGACTTGCAATATTTAAATGCCCTATTTTGAAACCTTTATGTTTTGGGTAAACCTTTTCATATTGGTCCGTGATCGGAGTAATTGGGTCTAGAGGGTTCACATTTTCATTATCGCTAGTCTTAGTATCATCCCCGTCATCATGATCATCATCATCATTGTCGAGTCCACCTTGATCAAATGATGACAAGGATGCGACAGTATCTTCTACTTTGGAATAATAAGAAGTATCTAGTCAATTGAATGATTGAATGCAATAATACTTGTACTACTCGTGATTGAAAGAAAAAAAGTTCTGAATATTTGAAGCTATTAAAATGCGGTCAGATAAATTGGGATTTGGAATACGTCTAAATGAGCATGTATTTAATTTTTTCGAAATCACGAGCGTGCAATTTTAGTGGAAGCCGTGTCGTATGTCAAATGAGAAAGTGAATGCAATATCGTTTTTATTAAACAAAACCAGCTTTGTTCAGGAAGTTAATAATATGCCATGCAGTAAGATTATAAAATAATTTACAAAATTGTCAGCACGACTTTTACGACATTCGGACGATATTTATCTAAATGATATGCCAGCGATCGAGCATCAACAATATAATTATTCGTTATGCGGGAAATTAGGCGGGAATTTCCGGTTTCGATCGTTTCCGGTTTCGGTCTTTTCCGGATTCGGTCGTTTCGGTTTCCGTTCTTTACAGAGACCCCTTGCGACTAATTAACAAGCGTTGCTGTGTTTACTTACATGCTAATGCATTTTTTAGTATTACTGTATTCCTTTAATAACGGCATGTAGTAAAACACTGACTACCGGAACACCGGAACACCACCTAACCCTAACCCCAACCCTAACCCCCAACCCTAACCCCCAACCCTAACCCCCAACCCTAACCCTAACCCCAAACAAAATGGTGGTGTTCCGGTGTTCCGGTGGTGTTCCGGTGTTCCGTTAGTCAGTGTTTTACTACATGCCTGTATTTGCTACAAATATGGACGGCATGCGATAGTGATAACAGGGATTATTTTAAGAAAGATTTAGAACTGCACATATAGGGTGTTACGAAGGCAACGGGTGTTTGACGGGGGTGGTCGAAGGATTTTTTACCTGCATATAGGTGACAGAATAATTGTGTGCTTGGGTTGGAGAATTGGAGAAAGGCCAGACAAACTCGATTTTGGGTGCGGGAGCTATGGGGTGTTCCCCCAAAACAATTTGAATATAGAGTTCTGGCAAACTGGATTTGTTTACCCAACCACTTACAAAAACTGTTTCAAAACATGTAACTGTAAATGGGAATCATGGATATTCAATATATAACAATCTGAAATTTGCATTTGAGGCAGCTATGATAATTAGGTTCTCCCACTCTAATGGTTCTCCCACTCTCTTTTGGGGAGCTTCGCTCGCCCCAATTTTACTTTCTTTTCCATTACGCCAGCACGTAAGTGATTTGTGAGGAAAATAGGAGGTCTGGAGTCCTCCCCCAGAAAACGTTCATATTTTTGATGTTCAATTAATGACAGCAATTCTGGAATTTTCTGGAGCATCCACAAGGGTAACGAGTAAATGAGACTGTTTTAATTAAGGCTATTTTTGTTAGTTTGGTGACTGCACATTTGAGTTTTAAGGACTGCACAAATGGATTTAGAACTGCACATTTTGTGTAGAACTGCACGTTAAAATAAACCCTGAGTGATAAAAGGAGAATAGTGGGAATAGTGCGAATAGTCGCGACTATATAGTGCGAATAGACGACGACTGAGTCGTGAAAAGTTTACAAATATTAGTCGAATAAGTTTTTTAAATTTTCTGTTGTCTTTTATAAACATTTTATATATAACTAAAATAGAAAATGTACTCGAGGACTTTTATGCTATGTTCCCTGTACCATTTTATGTACAGTTTCCTAATCATGCATATATATGCGAGCACTAGTGTAAACTTTGCGCACATAAAACGTCTCAAGTTACATGCGCGACAGAACTTTTCCCAATAAGTATTTCGGCAAATTATTTCAGACTTATGTATGGGAATAAAAATTTCAGCAATATCTTTCATATTATTCAAAATTGACATTGTAAAACTTTTAAACAATCTTAAAATAACTGTTTAAACGGTGAAAGTTAGCAATTTAATACTGAAGAACAGATATAGTTGTACATGAGTTCTGGATGCGTCGACTATTCGTCGACTATTCTCACTATTCGCGACTATTTGCCGACTATTAAAATTCCTCGTTACTTTTACATATTTTCAACTACTATATTGCATATGTCTTCTTTTTAAAGTCCCCCCCGGCCCCCAATTTTTGCCCGACTTACGTTCATAATTCCCCCCATCCCGTACGCCTATGATTTAGGAGATCTCGGCACGGGTAAAAAACGACATGGGTGCCAAAAATAAAATGACTCAACCTGTTTACAAACGGAAATTTACCCGTGCCGTGCCAACACTATTTGAAAAACACTATTTGCATGTGGTGTTGGTTTTCCTCAATAAATATTGTCATCATTCATTCAAGAAAAACGGCACTGATGCATGCCAATTTTAAGCCGGGCCGTGCCAATTTTCGCTTAGGGTTGGAGGACAAATAATAATTTTGTTCTTTGAAGGCCAAGGAAAAAATTAAATTTTGTTAGTTTCGTTACTAATAGCCCCGGCCATTTTTTACAAAAGTACTTTCTTATGCGGAAATCTAAGCTTTAATACAAGCTTTAAATGGGAGGGGGGGGGGGTGAATAGGGGTATACAAATCCGCCGATCCGCCGAAATTTGAAGCAAAATCCGCAATGGTCTTGTCTAAATTTGAATCCGCTATAAGCTCTACTATGAAGTTACAATCCAGGATCCGAACTAAATTGCAAGCTAAATCCACAATCCAAGCCAAAATATTAGATAAATCCGCAATCCGCTGTATTAATAAGATCCGCAAATCCGTGTAAAATATTCGCCAGATCCGAAATCCGAACAATTTTTTCTGTGAAATCCGACGATCCGAAAACCTATTCACCCCCCCTTAAATTAAGTCACGTGTTGTTTAAATTTTGCTCATCATTGTTTACATTCCGGCTTCTTGACGACTTGAGATATCATCCTTGTTGCCAGCTGCTATTTAATTGAAGTAAAAATAATTTACAGAAATATTGAATTGAGCATTTTTAAAACAATGAAGAAATCAGTTATCGATATAGATGAGGTTTTTTCCTCAAAGGTTCACAATGATTGCATGTCTTACAATGTTACAAGAAACTCCGGTCCCATGCACGTTTAAATTTATATAACATCATTCATCAAGGTTTTCAAAGCTGAATAAATAATATGTCATATAATGAATATATTTATTAAAAAACCTTGGTTAAATGCATTATTTAATTGCAGCCCGACTACCTTGGCTGCCTCTCGTTCAGTATATATAACACACATTTGTCACAGAAAACACGGTTTGCTCTTGCCAACTACCAAGTCAAAACCAACAGGGTTTACTTCACTAATATTCTATTTAATATATATATCTTTATTCAATTTTCAGCAGTTGCCTCTACAGTGCTACACCCCGCCAAAGACACTGTTGTGCCTCTCTCAATACTACTGCTCAACAGTGTTGCGTCCCCAACGCCTGCCTATCTTGAACGGTCTGTGCCTGCAGTGTAGGTAGTGACAATAATAAGAAAGCTTCGGATCCCTATCAATCCGAAGCTTTCTCGGAAAGAGTATTCATGCAGTATTTTCACGGTTGTCTCCTCCCAAGTTTTCAAATACTACGAATTATTACCGCATCATGTGATACTACTTTCATCTCGCTATTGCTCTACTATTTTATCACTATGTACGTCAGTATTTTTATCAACAATACCTATTTAAATTCTCTTTGTTCCCTCTGTCACCATTGTCGGGTAATACATCCTCTGTTTGATTCTTGATTTTTCCCATTTCAGGGTTTCTGTGCATGGCAAAATGTAGCTATTAATATTTAAAAAGTAGTATACAGTATGCAGGGGTTCTGGACCGAGTGGAGTAGTAGAGCAGTGCACCGCTGACGTCAGCAGGATCAGATTTCATGCTTATTTCATGTAATTTTGTTGTAAACAACTACTGTGATTAGGGGGTATTCAGTGGCGGCGCCAGGCCTCCAAATTTGGGGGGGCATTTGAGGGGCAAACTCAAATTTTGGGGGGGCAAGATAGAATTTTTAAAAAGGTCGCCCCCCAGGAGATTCACCCCCCCCCCCTCAAAACGTGGCGATATCGCCTCCCAGGGGGGTGGGGCGAATACCCTAGGAATATCGCCCCTCTTTAGGACATTCGCCCCCCATATATGCGATGTGGTTTATTCAAATAATTTCGTGATACTTTCATCTTATTAATGCCTTACACGTTTGAGAATTTAACTCTGCAAAACTAAAGCTTTTTTGTCTTTTTTTGGAACGTATTATTGGAGTATTGGCAAGTTTTACCATTCAGAGATTTACAAACTAATATTGAAACTGTAAAAAACAGTTTCATGTATACGCGCATTCACTAATGAGTAATGACAACTTATAAGCCATACATTTTCCGATAACTATATATATATATATATATATATATATATATATATATATATATATATATATATATATATATATATATATATATATATATATATATATATATAACAGAAGCTAGAAGTGTCATTAAACGCCGTCAGATGTAAATTTTGAAAGACGACCAAGACACTTGTTGCGGACATAATGCATGCAGTATTTCTCCAAAACGAAGCGATGTTTTCTGTAAGGGTTTCATATACCATTCTTGATTGATATCGGTCTTTGGAGATCATGCACTGGGTTTATTTTGGACATAAATATATAGCCAGATTTATTAATTAACCGAAATAGTCCAACAGTCTGAGAATCGACGTGCATTGAAGAACTGGTTTCCTAGAGATAAAAAAAATCAAGGTCATGTATCGTCAGTATATCGATCAGAGTAATTATTTTCCTGGAAATTAAAAAAATCAAGGTCAGGTATTGTCATTTATCGATCAGATACCCGGAATGGCAGATACCAAGAATGGATATTGATTGATATACTATCATTCCCGTGGGAAATTCTCAGCAAAGTCAAAGCAATATACCGATACCAAGAAAAATAATGTTTTATTATTATAACTGATGGGGAATCAACCTCTTCAACCAGCCGCACACGAGAGAAACTTGCTGAGCTAACCGCCTCGTGTGGCAGCTAGGTCAGCAAGTTTCTCTCGTGTGCGGATAGTTTTCGTGAGGATTTGACCTCTTGAGGCCTTGAGGAAAATATAGGTGAAAAATCTCAACGTCTGCGGATTAGCCTGCGTACCTAGCCGGCGGTTTTAAGGGTTGGGGTTGAGGAGCGGCCACGCAGGCTTGTTTCTCTCATGTGCGGCAGGCTTTCGACACTAAACTGAACATTATAAATTAGGGTTAGAGTCAGGGCTCAGCATTCATAAACAGCGAGACATGAATTTATAATCTGGAAATTCGGCAATAATGACGTCATGGCCAGAAATGACGGACATTGTGCAAGCGTACCAGTCGGTCAGCGGCTTTTCCGTTTATCCACAAGAATTCCTAATTATCCTTTACGACCTATCAAAGCATCCGGAATTTCAAATATTCGCGTGGGTGTTGTTTATAAAGCAAATCATGAAATATGCACTCAAGTTGTGGCCTTTGGTTTACCAGGCTCAGGGTGTAGCTAAGCAATGACTACGGGAACGAAAACAGAAGCTTTCGACGAGTATTTTGGTACCAAACATGTAGCAAGGCAATCAATATATATATATAGTTTGGCAAGCGAATGGAATATCACTTTTTGACCGCGAAGTAATATTGTAATATGCATATTAACGCACCGGCTTGGGAATTTCAAAACAAAAAAGCAGAGCTTTTATCGGGTGTAACAAAATAATATACGGCGGAAGGCAAGGCTATACTATTCGTCAAAATAAAATGATTTCAACAAATTTCGATAATTGAATATATTACGAGATATAGCCTTTTGAGCGAGAAACGTTTATAGATTCCTATGTAAAGTGAGGTAAAATGTTGTAATATTCAATCGCAAAAAGCAGAGCGAGTATGCAAAGAAATGAGAACTTTTTTTCTTAATGTGTTACTATACCACCGATACTTCTGGAACCAATTTCAACAAATATTCAAAGATTTATATATAGCATGCTATATTGAAAATACTATGCTCGCCAGATAATAAACATAGGGCATTGCGCAGCCATTGTTGCGTGGGTGCTCGTGGTAACGCGAAACCTGAGAAATGAAAATGTCCGTGATTTCTGGCCATGTGGGACGAGTTTCATCGTGCATCAAAAAACAAACATGCACTGACGGAGGTTCCAGACCATACCTTCTATAGTTTAGCTATATGAACTGAAATAGTAAAGGTGGTGTATCGTCGTATCGATTAGATGCATGGAATGGCATGCAGATACCAAGAATGAAAATTTAAATATTATGTGAATCAGTTGAATATAAATATTCTTGGGAAATTCCCAGTCGAATCAGCAATATAACGCTACATACCACTGCCATGCATTACTACGAAAGTTTCTTTATACACAGATAGGGGATTATTTTTCTACGTCACGACTATATATAAACGGAACATTTGCGTCGCCTCGTATATGGCTGAATTCATTACTAGTGATATTGTTTATGTCTAAATATATAGGATGACTTCAAATGCAGTGAAACGTCAATCAAAATTGCTCAACAGAACTTGAAGTCATGTTATATTCAGTTTAGCCTATAGTAGAGTTTAGCCTTATTTTAAGCATTTATACTTATTGCTGATAGTTGTTAATACTGTTAATTAACTAAAGTTAATTAACAGTATTAACTGCAACTATATCAGCAAGAGTAAATGTTTAAAATAAGTCTAAACTCTACTATAGCCATAGCCCATATATAGGCTAAACTGACCGGCATAACACTACTTAATATTCAGTTCGCTTCAATTCGATTCAAGATATACCCGGTTTTGAATGATGAATTCAAGACTGTGCCTGCATGGAATTGGTGTCCTGAGTCAAATACTAAATCCGATTGAGAACAATAGAAAATTGGTGTGGTATAGGTTTATAATTACTATATGGTCATATGGTTTAGTGTATATAGTTCTATTAATTCCGAAGGGGTGCATCTTGAAAATCTAAGACATAGATTAAAATCCGAAGACAACATTTTATATGCATGGTCATGCATATTTCGACTTTATTTAGTCTGACGTGGGCTTTGAAATAAAGTCTAAATATCACCATACAAAATTTTGTCTGGATTTTAATTCATATCTGAAACTTCGATCGACTAAAGCTAACGTTGAAATTCCACAAAATATAGTGGGAGGGATCTTTGCATGCATGGGGACATGCATGCACCCTATATGCATGTATATCCAAACTGAATCCTGAATACTGGGCGTGCATGCAGTTTGTGAAAGGATATTCTATAGGTATATCGAGCGTATTTGAATAGATATACCTGGTTCCTTTCAGCACGCGTATATTTGCGGTAAAGCGTGATTTATTTTATGTTTCTTATTTATCAAACTGTTTAAAATGTTCGTGATCAGTATGAGATTGGCTATATGAACCAATATATTTTAAAAAGTAGCTCATCTCAATTTCTTTTTGTAATTTCTGACTCACTGTAATTTCTGACAAACATATATTATACAACTAATTCAAAAAAGATTGCATGTCCTTTGCAAACCTTAAACTCTAAATCTTTGAACTCAAAGCGTGCAAAGCATAATGGGAGAATAACTTAATCTGTTTAAAAATCATATATATGGGGCCCATTTCTTAGAGACATATGGTAAATATCTCCTTACGAGAACAATTCATTCACAAATAACTGCAATATTCAACTACTAAGTCTAAGCTTGAAACTTATGTTCCCATTAAGCTTTGCGCGCTTAGAGTTTAAGGTTTAAGGTTTAGAGTCAAGGTTTGCAAAGGACAACCGTTTTTGAATTGACTGTACGTAAATATATAGACTTATCCATGCATATACCGATAGACTGTACGTTCTAACCCATGTACCTTTATTAAATTAAACACCTTTATATAGTTATAGTTTAACAATACTATTTTACAATTTATATGTCAACAGAAATATCAATGCTTTCAATTACCTATATTACACCAGGCAAGTTATAACTTTACGATTAAAATATCAAATAAATAAGGATCGTATATTTCATATTAATTAATGAATGAATGAATATGAATACATGCTCCACTTCATTTGCATTAACGACCCAACGTTTCGACACTCTACAGTGTTTTCATTAGGTGAATTAAGACACTAATTCCTGACGAAGACACTAGGAATGTTGGATCGTGAATGCATGCGAAAACATGCACGTCTGATAATATAATAATTGCAATTGTTAATAAATAATAACTGAAAAAATAAATAAACAATCTGAGATTGTATATATATTAAATTCTTAAACTTCGAAATCCATTGAAATTAACTATATACTCTTTATCGTTTTATAAACTTATTTTCCTTATCCCCCTACCAAATTCATCGTAATGTTTATAATAAATTTATTTTACATAACACAGAATGATAAATAAGCATATAGCCTAAGTTTCGCCTTTTGACTATACTTTAATTGGCCCAGTTGTTTTGAGATTTGAAGATAAATGTTACGAATCAAACAACCGATATAGTATACAACTCATGAACTTATCAAACAGATGAATGATGAATACCGATGGCAATAAAAATCTGTCAACTTTTGAAAAAGTCGTTGATATTTATATGTGGCTCAATGACCTTGGTATAGTTAGACACTTGGTAGTTTTCATTTTTCTGCTTCCATATCTTTGTCTTGTTTCAGAGATTTCATATAAATCTATATGACGTCATGTGCAAGGTATACAAATCTTGAAACACTGAAATATCTGACAGTATATTCTGCAGAAAATGACCTATAAAATCTAAACCGCAAACATGCATTCAGATCATCTGAAATCATGAGAATTTAGGATAAAAACGTCTTGTGTATAAATTACTCTGCCATTTAACTTGTCAAGCTTTCATATATTATAATTTTAAAATTTCGTTTCAAAAGTTGTTGCCGATGCCATTTACATCGTCTTCATTCTTCAATAAGCCTGATATGACATGTTGTATTGCGGGTATACTGGGTATTGATTGCATGGATGATTTATTTGTTTTGGAGCATGCGTATTGTGCTTCCTCTGTTCTTCATAAGCTCTCAGTCTTTCTTCTTCCAGCTTATGTAGGGTCATTGTATGGAGATCTCTGAAGTGCCGCCGCGTTATCTCATGCAGGTCGTCAAATACTATAGAGATGAAAAAATCGAAGATTTTCAGTACAATTATCAGCTAAAACCTCTATATGTTTTGAGATTGACTTTCTCAAAAAGTTATCCGTGCTATTTCGTTGTGTTAAAATAAAAAATACCAATTTATTTAAAAATGCTATACTTTTAATACAACACGTCTTTCGAGCGTTTAGTTGTCAGCGTGACTATACTCTTTACCTCTGAGAATCGGTTAGGATCAATAAAGCGACTCTGGTGGAAAGAGTCAGTCAACGCGCTAATGCAGAAAGTTGCGGGTTTTCGCTATAGATAGGTTGGCGCGTATATAGAGGGAAACTATATGGAGGGTGGATCAGGAAAGACATATTAAGTAAATTCACAACCCCATAAGCATTAATTGCAATTAAATACATGTCATGATTATATAGTGAAGTAAAAATATTAGTTAGAGGCTTAGAGCAATCTGTATCTTGTGATTCGTTTGCGGTAGGCGGAAATTTCTAATTTTCAGTACGTTAAGAAACAGAATGCAATAATTACAAAGCCAAATTACAACTTACATGGACATTCTATATGCAATTAAAATGTTGAAATTCTTTAGCGGAGTTTGCATGGTTGGACGAGTCCCCATAGGGTAAGCCCTCCACAGGGTATACTATACCTCTAGCATTGTACGGATGATTGCCATCAGCTAGGATCTCTTGCAAGATGTTTGCCATTGCACCAGTTGCAATAATTCTTTCAGCTAAGGGTAAGCTGTCGAAATAACGGTGATCTACAGCAAAAGGGTTCAGTGGTAACGGAAACATACACATGTGAACAACCTCAGCAATAATATCCCAAAGTTTTGTTCCTATAGAGGGAGAAAACCGTTAATAATAGAAAATATAAAGACGAACCAAAAACATGGATGAATAATTTAGCTTGTAGGAAAAAGGTATAGGTCCGGACTGTAGGATAGTCGAGTTCTTTTTTCGTTTGTTTCTGGACCAAGGGTATGGATCTAGCTTGGAGACCGTTTGGATACATCTCAGTCATACATTAATTATGATGAATTTAATTATATTACCCAACCTGGATTCAATGTTGTTATACTACCAGAAATACATGCATGCATGCAGCAACCCCTCGCCTATATTTCCCCAACGTTGATTGAACATGAAGTATTATAGTAATTGGCTAACACTGAACGCAGGCTCGCTCGCGTCATCTGTGACGCAGCCTACATCAAATTATGACGACATTAATTACATCAAAGCTAATTGAGCTATCAAGCGACGGAGGCGTGCGTTTTACTCCGCATCTTCTTGGCGATTTATCTTGGTATATCTGTGCTTTTTGTTGCAGTTGCGATTGCAAGGACGCATTTTATGGCGAGAAGTGCCAGTTTCAAGGTAAGATGACAAATTGTCCTTTTACGCTGTTACCTTCCAAAGAAGAGTTCAACACTGACTTTAAAAACTATACTTTTGTGCAACAAACAAATGCTTTAAAACTGTTTACTGTTTCGAATGTTCATTCAATTAAAGCGCTTTTGCTGATAAACCGTTTTTAACTTAATGAAACCAAATAAGTTCAAATTATTGAATAATTTCAGTATTTTTTTCTTAAACTAAACAGGGTAATTTTACAGCTACATTAAAAAGGAAAGCAGTGCATGTTTTACGCAAAAACGTAAAGCAACAAAATTCACAAACATGCATTAAACATTCAAATATTTCTATATTTCACGATTTCCCATAGTATATCAACTCTTCTTTCATAGCAACATTGCTTATAAAAGCTCATTGTATAAAACGATTTTCCAAATATATGCTTTTGAGAATTGAAATCTTGCTAATCCCACCCCTGGCAAACAGCCATATTTTTTAAAATCAGTGAGGAGATCCACGTCCACTCATGACAGCACGTTAGACTTCGTCAATGCTTTCCTTTCCCCGGATGTATAAATAGACGAGCGGAATTAGTAGAACTGTTGGCTCGAGGACGATAGGAAATTTGGTTTGTTTGTGGTGAATATGGGCGCCTAAACGACCGCCGCTCGCTGTTTTCCAGGGCCAATCGTTTGAGAATTCAATATCTGTGGCAATTGATACACCAGGCGGAAATCTTAGTTTAAAGATAAAAAGCAGAGCCCAGCAAATAACTTTAAAACCAAACATAATAAAAGTAAAAAAATAATTAGCTATCGTTTCGTTGTTTACAATACAACATCTTCAGAGCAATCTAAATTAATTTAGAGGGTATGGTATATATATTTACAAAGTAATGGTTTAATATTACAAAAACGGTTACATAGTTTGAAAGAACAAATGAATAGAAAGAAGGAAAACAACTTATCAGTAACTATAGTTAATTAGTAAAGATTAATGTTAAGTGCATGCATGGTTTATAGTATAGTTAAGGTATTACATAACTAAAGCCCGCCGCACACGAGCGTACTTGTCGCGCGTACTTAAGTACTTGTTATTCGTGACAAATTGGATCGACAAAATTTCCTCGTGTGCGGGCAACATTTACGGCATTTTCGTCATAGGAAAATTTGCGCATGCGTGCAACTTCCAGAATTAAAAACAAGACACGAGCTCGTGATTTTGATCCACCATGTTGTTTTTAATTCTGCAAGTTGCACGCATGCGCAAATTTTCCTATTCAGGCGCACTTGTCGTTTGCTCGCCGCACACGAGAATTTTTTTGTCACGAATGACGAAAAATATCAAACATGTTTGATATTTGGTTTACATGTCACGAATGACGAAAATGCCGTAAATGTTGCCCGCACACGAGGAAATTTTGTCGATCCAACTTGTCACGAATAACAAGTACGCGCAACAAGTGCGCTCGTGTGCGGCGGGCTTAAAATAACTCAAGAGGGGTAGATCTAATATTAGCATTAAAAGCGGAGACTGGGTGTTTGTGCATGTGTTTGTGAGCGAGTATAGTATACTAGACATGGTTGAGATAGAGCGTTCTTTTCCAGTCAGAAGCGAGACTCCCATAATATGTGTGTGAATGTGTCGTGTCGGTGTAGATAGATTGTTTAGATAGATTGTTTGTTTAATAAGATTAACACATAGCAGCCAATAAGGCTGAATTGCGTGCTAAATTTTACAAGAGAAATGATTAAAATTAGTTATTCTATATTTACAGAAGTTTAAAATTACATTACAATTTATAATTCTATATTACAGAAGTTTAAAGTTACATTACAAATTAACTATGAAACTAGTAAATTTCTAAAAAAATGTTAGCCAGTCTAAAACTGAATATCAGAATCGATTGTCAGTTAATATTATTGATATGCCTTGCAGATGAAGGGAAAAACCTGTTTCTAAATCTGTTCGTTTTGGTCTGAGGAACAACAAAAGACCTTGAGTGTCTAAGGTCGTAATTTGGAAAGTATCTAGATGGTACATGATTATGCATATTAGCTACTGGTGTTGTGGTGATTTCATTAAACAGTTTCTCACATGCATCCACACGCCTGTCACTTAATGGTTTGATGCCCGATTTTTGTAAACAATCCGCATAACCTGTCAGTGGATAGATGATTGATAAAACACGCTTTTGAACCCGTTTCAGGGCATTAGATAAGTAGGAAGGAAGGGCGAAGTGGAAAACTTGACAGCTGAATTCCATGACTGGTCTGACGCAGGTAGTGTAAAAATGTATTATGTCAGCTTCAGGTACATGAGCACGTTTCAACTGAATAATAAAATAAATCCGTTTGTTCGCCTTCTTAACTATGTTGGTTATGTGTTGGTTCCATTTTAGATCTTTAGAAATTGTCAAACCTAGGATTCTTGCGTGGTTCACTGTCTCGATTTGGCCTGAGATGATCTTAAGGCGCGGAAATTCTTTCTCAGGTTTTGTAAAACTGATAACAAGTTCCTTGCACTTGGAGGCATTTAATTGCATCTTGTTTTCTACAGACCAATTTTGAACACAATCGACTGTATCTTGAATTTTACTGGGTGTGTTGATATAAATGATTTCAGATACCGTAGCATCATCGATGTATTTCCATCGCTCATGATGTGGGGGGCGTAGGTCATTTATCATTAGGATGAATAACCAAGGTCCCAATTTGGTTCCTTGAGGGACACCGGAAGGAATGTCAATCCATTCAGACATACAGTCTCTCGCAAGTTTCACCCGTTGTTGCCTGTTCATCAGAAAGTCAATTACCCACCGCTTAATGAAATTTGGCATTGGCAATTGGATGATTTTCGTGGCTAAGATCTTATGATCAATCAAGTCGAAGGCCTTTTTATAATCAAAAAGAACCACTCTTACAGCGTTTCCAGTTCCATCTGTGGCTTGAGTCCACGCATGA